CATCATCCTCCATAACATGATTGTGGAGGATGTGTATGATTACGATATTGCAGATGTGTACGAACCAGATCCCATGAACATGGCCTTGACAAGAATTTATGAAAAACCCATGGGGCCAAATGGAGAACCATTGGAGCATGAACTGTTGGTTAGGGACAGTCGTTTCATGACTTGTATGATTGATTGATATATGGAGATGCAATCGTCTTATATTCATGAACGACGTCAAGTTGAGTTGATGGAGCATTTATGGACGGTGAAAGGCAATGACGGTGAATGAAGTGAAGATGTTTTTTTTTTTTTTAATTTTATTATGCTTTGGTTGTGTTTTATTTTTAGTTATGCTTTAGTTGTGGTTTTATTTTTTTTAATGCTTTGGTTGTGGTTTGTTTTTTAGTTATGCTTTGGTTGTGGTTTTTTTATGTATGGAATGTTTTGAATAAAAAGGTATTTTATTGAATGCTTTCGTTATTCACTCAAAGAAAACCATTACAAGTAATTAAGAATTACTACTAATTAAATAAAATACATGAATTGCAACTAATTAAATAAAATACAATGAAATAAAAGGCAAGCAAACTAACTTAATGGTTTTGATCTTTTAGCCAATCTGTGTTGCTAGGTCCATCGTCACGGAAAAGTCTTCTTCTCATAACATCCCTTCGTTCTAGCTTCCAAACTTGTTTTGTTTCAGGGCACATATGGCTTGTATCCATGGCCAAGGTTTCCCGATCTTTCCTCTCAATGTTTTCATTCCATACATACTCCCCTTCTTTTGCATATTCTACTTGAATTGCCCTCTCATCTTCTTGGGTTGTCATATCTATTTCAATTCTCATGGCCCTTAGCCTTGCAATTTCCTGCAAAAATTTAGATGTATTACTGCTATAATTACTCCATCTCTTCGACTTCGCCGCCTTTCTCCCAATAGGCCTCTACTCCTTTTGGATGGGTAAGTCTTGACTCATCGGGGTATCCATAGAAGAATCCGATGCCGGTGAATCATGGAGTGGCGTCTCGTTCAACACAACGGTCGGACCCATTGGAATAATTCAGAATCTCGAGCAATTCTTCACCACCTCCCAACATTGGTCATGGTTGAAAGTTTTTTTGCCTTACCCAATAGCACCAAACCACATTTTTTTGCTTGCATAATCTTTTTTTTTTAATTTTTAAATATTGGAAATGCAAGAAACATTAAAAAATATTGGCAATGCAAGAAATATGAACAAAATATTGGAAATGCAAGAAACATTTAAAAAAAATAATAGAAATGCAAGAAATATTAACAAAATATTGAAAATGCAAGAAACATTTAAAAAAAAAAATAGGACATTAAAATTAATAAAATGAAAATTACAAATAATTTACATCATTGCTATGATTTTCCCTGCTTCTATGGTTGTCCCTCGCTTTTGCCAAGGCATCTCTTTATTTCCCCAACTCTTTATTGAGAATTTTCCACCTACTAGACAATGTCATTTCCGTACAGGTCGAACCCGATCTTTCACAAAATTCGGTATGAATTTTTCTCTACATATGATAGAATTTCATCTCATTGCCCATGACACGACAATGACTAATTTGGACCCAACACTCACACAACAAAACATCTTGCTTGATGCTCTATGCCCCTCCGGTTTCGATAGAAGAAGCCATAAGATGATAAAGAAAACTAAAATTTGAAAGTGAATAAAATGTTGAGTAGAAAGTGAATAAATGTTGAAGGAGAAGAAATGTATTAGGATTTGGTGTTAAAAGTGTAAAGTATTGGTTGGTATTTACAAAATAAAATATAAAAAAATTCATTAATTTTTGGGTATTTTTTTTAAAAAATTTCAATTTATTTTCATAATTTTATTGCAAAAACATTGACTGTTGTTGGATTGGAGGAGAAAACTAGATTGGAGCGCCCAGAGGTGGCCACGTGGCTTCTAGCCTTTGGCAAAAAGCAGGCTCGCGCATTCAAATTTTTTTTTTTTTTACTGTTGGCGCCTGCAATGCACGCGCCAACAGTAAAAAAAATTTTGAATTGGAGCGCTGACACTAGCTTGGCATCAGCAATGACATCACCGCAAAACTTGGGCTAGCCTTGCCTTCGGTCTATCCCTGTTCCGTGGGACCCACAAGCCGCCCAGGCAAAACAGGCCTGTTGGAAATGATTTTTGGGCTTCCCCGACCCAGCCTGGACCACTGGAAACACTCCTGTTATACTCCTAATCTAAGGCCTCCTCTGATCCGAATACACAAATGATCCACACTAGACGTCTTCTCCATCTCCTACAACATAGTATTCCTCTCTGAGTTCTTATTTTCCAAATGACAGGAGATTACTGCAATGCAAAAAAAAAAAACGAAAATACTTTACATTAACAATGACAGCTTGATAATTACAAGGCCTGGGCTTGGTTTGGGTTGGTTCGGTTTTGGACTCAACCCGAACATCAAACTGTAGGCTTCGGTTCGGCTATTTTGAAAACCGAAACCAAACCATCATTGATGAAAACCAATCACTTTGGTTAACCGGACTTGGTGGTTTGGTTTGGTTTGGTTTCGGTTTTTTGGCTTTCTTAGAGAGAGAGAGAGAGAGAAAGAGAGAGAGAGAGAGAAGAAATAAAAGCGATGGAGAGGAGAAGAAGAAAAAAAGAAGAGGGAGAGATGGAGAAGAAGAAGAAGAAGAATAGGAGAAAAAGAAAAGAGAGAGAGAGAGAAGAAGAAGAAGAAGAAGAAGAAGAGGGAGACGGGGAGAGGGAGTGAAGACAGATATAAGAAGAGTGAGAAGAAAAAAAAAAATAAAGTGAGAGGGATTGATGAAGACAAGAGAAACAGAGAGATTGAGAGAGAAGAAAAAAGAAAAGATTGAAACTATGTATTATATATATATATATATATTTCTTATAATAATATTATATATAATATTTTTTAATATCTTCAGTTTGGTTTGGTTAAATCGTGGTTTTGAATATTACAAATTGTACACCGAATCATATATTTCGGTTGGTTTGGGTTCAAACCAGTGACAAAAAAAAAATTGAAAAAAACCAAACCAACCCAACCCATCGTTTGGTTTGGGCAGTTTGGCCAGGTTTCGAGTCCAAATGCCGAGCCTTACCTTTACTGGTTGCTTTCTCCACCCGTCCATGCCACCATCCACACACCCCATATAGCATCATTAAGGAGAGAAATGGGTACGGGATCAACTCCTCCCTCCCAATCTATCTAAGTCCTGTTTTTTTAGGTATTAGATTACGAATTGTTATTTGAAATCGACATAAATAGAAGTCATGAATTAGAATAATTCTAATATCCATGTATTAGAAAGTGCAAACGAAATTCAGAATCGGAACAATCCAATACCCATTCCAAATTGTTTTTTTCTTCTTAACTCTGATACTAAAAACTATCAAAACTTTTAAATTTAGCCAAACAGTATTAAGCAATCGCTGAACAAGTGATTAAAAGCCTCCAAATGACAGGAGATTACTGCAATGCAAAAAAAAAAAACGAAAATACTTTACATTAACAATGACAGCTTGATAATTACAAGGCCTGGGCTTGGTTTGGGTTGGTTCGGTTTTGGACTCAACCCGAACATCAAACTGTAGGCTTCGGTTCGGCTATTTTGAAAACCGAAACCAAACCATCATTGATGAAAACCAATCACTTTGGTTAACCGGACTTGGTGGTTTGGTTTGGTTTGGTTTCGGTTTTTTGGCTTTCTTAGAGAGAGAGAGAGAGAGAAAGAGAGAGAGAGAGAGAAGAAATAAAAGCGATGGAGAGGAGAAGAAGAAAAAAAGAAGAGGGAGAGATGGAGAAGAAGAAGAAGAAGAATAGGAGAAAAAGAAAAGAGAGAGAGAGAGAAGAAGAAGAAGAAGAAGAAGAAGAGGGAGACGGGGAGAGGGAGTGAAGACAGATATAAGAAGAGTGAGAAGAAAAAAAAAAATAAAGTGAGAGGGATTGATGAAGACAAGAGAAACAGAGAGATTGAGAGAGAAGAAAAAAGAAAAGATTGAAACTATGTATTATATATATATATATATATTTCTTATAATAATATTATATATAATATTTTTTTAATATCTTCGGTTTGGTTTGTTTAAACCGTGGTTTTGAATATTGCAAACCATACACCGAACCATATATTTCGGTTTGGTTTGGGTTCAAACCGATGACCAAAAAATAATTGAAAAAAACCAAACCGACCCAACCCATCGGTTTGGTTTGGGAGGTTTGACTGGGTTACCGGTTTGAATGCCCAACCCTACTTACAAGGGTGAGGAATAGCATAAAGACAAAAGACGTATAGAAACTTAATCGTAGGTATGAATCCTGCCAAAAGAGATGTATAACGCCAATATTAAACACTTGACAAAAACTTGAAATCGCATAGTTGAAACTTTGTGACACACATAGCAATTCAATTTAGGGAGATTCACCATAATACCCAATATAAGAGCCCAAATTATTTATAATAATAAAAAAAATTATATGAAATGGACTTTAGAAACACACCCAAAACCCATTTACAACATAACAAAAAGGCTTTTAACTTCTTTTAAATTACAAAACTGTCATTGATTTCTTAAAACAATCAAATCCAAAAATCTCCTAAAAAAGCCCAAAATACTCAATGTGGCATCAAAGTAATTTAATAATTAAAATTAAATTCAATAGGGCTAGTTGTCATTTTTTGGGTTTGTTTATAGAAATTAAATGGTATAAGGTTTATTTATAATTTTAATGCTAAAAATGGGTATATGACTAAATATCTCTAAAAAATTATATATAAAAAATATATAAAAAAAAGGAAAGAGAATAGAAAGCTGTTGCTTTACAAAACGATCCAGGAAAAAGACAAGTGAAATAATTAGGCAAGCACTGTTGGTGGATAAAAATTCAAGCATTCATACACTGAAGAAGGGAAAGGAATGAGCACTGTCGCTTTATTTTTAAACTTTTGCTTTTGACGATAAAAAAGCACAAACGATCCAGGAAAAGGCCAATAAGCCTAGTAAACAGTTTCTAGTTGTCGAAGGCTTGTACTCATCTATTGTTCAATAAATAAAATCACTCTATTGTTCTTCTAAAAACCCAACAAATTTGGTCACAACATATTGAACAACTTCCTCAACAAAATCGGCCTCTGTCCTCCTGGCAAATATCATTATGAAAGACAAACAATAGTAAGTATATGAATCAAATTATCACAAAAAGAAATTGATACAAGTTAGAGATTTAGTATACCCTGTTTCGCTTGAATAATGAAACCCAGCCATATCGGCTGCTTCCTTCAAAGCATCCCTCCAGTTAACCACCTCATCCGTACTGCCCTTGAAACGTTTTTCAAGTTCATCAAGTGCAAGTGCATAAGTTCCCTGTTGTTTTCGTACATGTGATGGATCTATGCCGTAAAAAATGGGTATAACAATTTGTCCATAGCTTTTCTTGCGTTCTAGTACATGCACAAGTTCTTCCAAACACCATTTGGAAGAAGCATATCTTTTTGAGAAAATGATTACTGCAATTTTTGATTTCTTGATTGCTTCTTTAAGGGAACGTACAATGTCGTCTCCTTTCTTCAGTCTGTAATCCATGTAGGCCTCAATTTTCTTCTCAAGTAAAGCCGCGTGAAGATGGTCGGTAAAAGCATAGCGTTTGTCCTCACCTCTGAAACTAATAAACACATCAGAATCTGCAGCAGCAACAGAAGAAGAAGAAGCTGTTAAAGATCTGAAGCACATGAACTATAATTAATAGCCTTATATATGTTTGTGCGTATTCAGTTATAGAAGAAAGAGAATCTGATATTGGAGATTGATGAGGATCTAATTAAGCAAGAGAGAGAGCTAGAAATAAGTTGCCAACATTGCACCTGATATCATTGCTGTATGAGAAAAATCATTGAATTCAACATTGCAGGGCATCGCCGGAAGATATTTGATATTCTGGCACCCAGCAAGTCGAAGATAAGTAAGCTTGTGAAGATGTTGAAAATACAAAGGAATTTCAATCAAACCTTTACAGCCAACAAGATCTATACGCTCAATTTTTAGACTCCGAGAGAGATTTGGAACTTCAGATAGATGTTTGCAGTAACCAAGATCGATCTCTTTTAAGTTCACAGGACTCTGTAACAAATTAAAAGAAATAGAAAGAATTAATAACTTAATTCGAACAAAAAAAAAAAGGGAATTAATAACTTAGCTTGCATATTATTACTTTCTAGATCACATATTATTCAAGAACTAAAATAAGCATATATAGTATACCTGACCTTCATTCCAAAGTTGCGCCCCAACTTTACTGAACGGCATATGAAGCACAAGAAGATTTTCAGGAGAAAAATTTGATGGCAAATATGTCAAAGGATATCCCACCCAGTAAAGATAACTAAGAGAATTGGGAAGATGAAGAGAAAAATTTTCTAATATGTCACGGCCGAAATCGTAAGTTTCTGCAATTAGCAATTTTAGATTATATAACTTTCTGAAGTCTGCATGATTCAAGTTTAGCTCTTCAAAGAATATGGCTTGAACCCTTGCAGCTTCCTGACAATCAAGAGCAAAGTACAAATGTGAATATAAAAAGTTTAATCAAAACTGCATTCCCAGGAATCTGACTAGTCTATTGTAAATGTGAATATGTAAAATACCTTGTTATTTGTTAATACATCATAGACATCCTCAGCACTGAACAACCTACTGCGTTCTTCAATACATTGTTCGCGAACAATTGCCCTACCCATTTCTTGCACCAAATCATGCATCTCTATGGAGTTCCTTTTTGAAATAGATATGAGAGACATATCAATGAGAACTTTAATTCCGGATGACCATGAGAAACCACGGATATCTAGCATTCCCTTGACATTATTCATATTCCTGTCTTTATGAAAACATGCTATATCAAGAAATATCTCCTTCTCATTTTCTTCTAATCCATCGTAACTTATTCTCAAAACTCCCAAGATTTTTGGGTTTGGAGATCGTTTCAATTTGTTCATTTCATCTTCCCACTCTCGTTTGCTCTTGTAACGATGGAATGAGGACCCCAAAACTTTAAGAGCTAATGGAATACCCTTAATATATTCTACCACCTCTCTTGACAACTCAGTATAATCTGTTGTTGGAGACTCAATATTTCTGAAAGCATGCAAATGAAAGAGCTGAAGAGCTTCATCCAAATGTAATCCCTGAACCTTGTATATCTTATCAGTGTCAACTTTTTGCTCAAGTACTCCTTTATCTCTAGCAGTTATAATGATTCGACTTCCGTCACAAAACTGATCATGATATCCAACAAGAAATTCTAGTTGGAATGGATCATTCACATCATCAATAACAATGAAGGCCTTCGTGCGGCGGAGCCTATCTCGAATAAAAGTTGGTCCTATAGACAAAGTGCCGATGTTTGTATCTCTGTCCTTTAATATCTCACGAACGAGTTCATTTCGCAACTGATTTAATCCACCCGGTTGTTCTGATTTCTCCCTGACATTTGCAAGAAAACAAGCAGCATCAAATTTAGAGGACAGCTTGTGAAATACAGCATCAGCAAGGGTGGTCTTGCCAATACCACCCATGCCCCAAATACCTACAGAGAGTACACCTGGTGAATCCAAGCATAATAACGACTCAATTTCCTCAATTTTCCTTTGAATCCCAACCAGACCCTTTAAATCACTTGACGATTCGCGATTCAATTTGGTCAAAACATCTTGGACAATTTCCTCAACAAAATCGGCCTCCGTCCTGGCAAATATCATTATCAAAGACGAACAATAGTAAGTATGCATCGAATGATAACAAGTAGAAATTGATACAAGCTAGAGATTTAGTATACCCTGTTTTGCTTGAATCATGAAACCCAGAAATATTGGCTGCTTCCTCCAAAGCAGCCCTCCAGTTGGCCACCTCATCCATACTGACCTTAAAACGTTTCTTAAGTCTCCAAAGCCACCCTCCAATTGCATAAGTTCCCTTTTGTTTTCGTACATCTGATGGATCTATGGGATAAAAAATGGGTATAACAATCTGTCCATGGCTTTTCTTGCATCCAAGTATATGCACAAGTTCTTTCATACACCAAGTGGAAGAAGCATAGTCTTTTGAGAAAATGACTAGTGCAATTTTCGATTTACCGATTGCTTCTAGAAGGGCAGGCCCAATGTCGTCTCCTTTCTCCAGTCTGTAATCCATGTAGGTCTCAATTTTCTTCCCAAGTAAATCCTTGTGAAGATGGCTGGTAAAAGCATCGCGTGTGTCCTCACCTCTGAAGCTAATAAACACATCATACTTTTCTCGAAGAGGGGGGATATCAGTATCAACAGCAGCAACAGAAGAAGTGGAAGAAGAAGAAGATGTTATGATGAGTATGATGATTATGATGAAAACTTGAAAGAACTCAATGGATTCCATATCTGTTTCTCTGAATGCACCAGGGGCTATAATTAAAGCAAATCTGATATTTGAGATGAAAACAATTGCTACTAGTTCAGAGTTGACTATATGTACACAAAGTTACAAAAACAATCCAGCAAAATCATCAAAGCTTGAAAAAAGTATTACTTGCATTAAAAAATTAAATTAAAAAAAAATGGACGCATGGGTTAAATGTAACTACCAAAGTAGTCGAGGTCAGGTCCACAATGGTGGCCTCCCCTTTCCCTCGTTTGACACCCAGGTCTGAAATCCTAAGAGTTTCTTTCTTCCCAATGTAACAAAAAAAGTTATACTAAAGTAACCCTGTCACTTCCATTATTTACAAAATTGCCATCTAAAAACTCCCTGACGATCTATAATCGAATAGAAATAATTGAAGCTATAATTAAAGCAAATCTGATATTTGAGATGAATGGGGTTCTCCTTGAAGAAGAAAAAGAATCTGATATTGATAATTAAGTTGCCCCCGCGATCCTGTTAGGCGACAGAGAGAGAGAGCTACAAAGGTTTGTTGCCCTGCTTGTTTAGAATGAAAGAGAATAAAAAGCAGTTGCTTGCAGAGGCAGGACAATCCAAGAAAATCTAAATCATAAGAGAGATACAAAAAATAAACAAAAAATGAAAAAAAGGGTAGAAGTGAAATAATTACCCAACACTTTCGGCTGCCAAAGCTATTGGGAGACACAATTTTTTTTTTTTTTTCTTTTTGGAGTACAAGATATTGGGAGAGTGGGATTTACACAAATATTCATTGGGTGTTTGAGTTTACACAAATCTTTTGATACTATGGCCCTTTGAAAAACTAATGGTTGAAAAACGTAAATAATTTGACCTGAAAAAAAAAAACATAAATAGAATTTCAATGGTAGTTAGAAAGAAAAGTCTTCATCATAAATAGAACTTCAGTGGTAGTCTTCAACGTATACAGATAAAAGGAAAGTTTAAAAATTGGACGCATTGATAGACATAAGCTTAGTCTAATTGGCTAAAACTGATATGTTCCTCACTCATCAGCAGAATTCGAATCCCTATCCAAGTATTTAGATTAGATTTTATTAAAATATCGCTTGAATAAAAAATTAAATTATAAAAAAAAAACTAGACGTATGTATTAAATGTAATGACCACGTCATATTAAAGTAATTATGTCAGTTCCATTATTTACAAAATTGTCATCTTCTTTGGTGATCACCTTAAGAAATTTCACTAATGAAGATAGATTACAACTTTGATTTACCAATGAAACCCCCTTAGAACACTACCCTCACAATCTGTTTCTCTCACACCCTTTGCTCAATATTTTGACACACTTACTCTCTCACACTTATGTCGCACTCATTTTGCACTTACGATGTATTTACTAATCAAGAATTGGAGTTCTCATCAGGAATTGAATTCCACCTACGGAGGATTCTTGCGTTCATTTCACATCAAGGAATTAAAAAGTAAGTGGGGCCCACACAAAATTAGGAATTGAATTCTTGATTTTGGAGGAATTCAATTCTTGGGTGGAAGGTGGTATTCTAATTCTGGGAGAATTAACCCATTAGGAATTCATCTTTTTTACCCATTATATCCTCACACAATTTTCAAAATTTCAAATATGTCATCTACTTTAACCCAACTACGAGGACATTTTAGTAATTAGAACCACTCATACCCCAATTCCATATGGTTTAGTAAACAACTTCAATAAGAATCCAGAATCTAACTTCTCTCAATCCATATGGTTTAGTAATCAACTTCATTAGGAATTCGGAATCTAATTCTCTTCAATCCAACTCCTCAATTCAATTCATCCTCAATTCAATTCCTCCTAATCCAATTACGGA